TTTTGAGAATGACGAGGGCAATGAATGTGCAAATGTGCTTTACACAATTGATGTATGTATGGATTGTGATAAGAGTTGTATGAGCCCCTAATAAAATGATTTAAAAAATAACATAATAAAATAGAGAAAAACCTCAATTGAAAAGAAAGCAGAAAATATTCAACACCAAAACAATTTAAAAATGGGTCAAATGATAAAATAATAATAAATTATAAATTATCAGGGGTTCAGGGGGAGGGGGGAGGAAGGGAGAAATGAGCTGACAACAGGGGCTCAAGTGGAAAGTGGGTGTCGTAAGAATGATGAAGTCAACATATGTACTAAAGTGCTGGACACAGATGACGTATGTACAGATTGTGATGAGTTGTATGAGCCCCTAATAAAATGATTATTTTTTTAAATGGGTCAAAAGCGAGATCGAATGATAAGGTGCCAAGTTTTGACCTAACTACACCTGCCTTAATCTTAACTCTCCAGTGCACTGTTCATGACAGCCAGGCTAGTCACATCCCCAGTCTACGTTCCGAGGGGATGGACTGGAGGCTTCATCCACACGCATTTCCCCTTCACTGTTGTTGTTGCTGTTAACTGATACAACTTTAAAATGGATCCAAAAGGGGATCAAATAAGATGCTACATTGTAACCTAACTATATCTACTATAATTGCCTCTACAATACTCTGCGATAACAAAGCTATTCACATCCCTCAATTGTGGTCAAAGGGGATTCACTGGAGGCTAAGTCTATGCGTGGACCCTGCATATGGATTTTGGGCTTCCCCTATCATCCACAACCTTCTGCAAACAGGGTGTTCACAATTTAAACTCTGATACCATTCCTTCCTTTGGATTAGACTTATATCATGTACAACCCTTAGATCACACAGAATGGTGTGCTTCTTCCTTGCGGACTTAGTAAATGGCTCCTTGTTTGAAGACAAGTCTTTAAGACCCCAGTCACTATTCTTTCTGAGAGCTGGGCACTCTAGTTTTGTCACCACACTTTGCTATAGCACCCAGACCTGCAGTGATCTCTTCATGAGGGCAAGTATCAAGAAGGGCAATGTCATAAGAGAACAAATTGTTCTTACATGGGGCCTAGAATTAAGTATGCACCCAAGATCCACTCATATATCTATGGTTTATATATGTCTCTGGTTCACCATAGAGACACTGTTGTCATTTTATGTTAGAGGACCTTATCAATCATCTCCCCGGAGCATAAGGTAATTCTATTGAGAGTGTCATTAATTTAGCGAGTGGTATAGAATTTAAAACACAGTTGAGGAAAGGAGGTTATACAAGTGTATAGGAAGTGTATAGGAAAGGAGGTTATACAAGCGTAAGCTGGCTACGAACCACACTACATGAATTATTGACTTGTACAGATTTAACTCTTAAGTGACTGGACGCTATTTACACAATGAGAGTTGGTCATAAGGCAAAACTTTCGACAATATTCATTGACTGTGGCAGATCCAGGCCTGCCAGATTCAGACATATCGTAACAAAGCAAAAAGGGCATTAAAATAGCAAGTATATGGTAGTCCCGGGCCACCATGCATTGGGCACCCTTAAGGAAAGAGATCCAAGCCAAGGTCTGATGACCGTCAGTTCTATGCCACCCGCTTCTCCTCACACTGTGAAGTTTCAGCCTTAAGACGGACGGCTACAGGTGAGTTTGACCCAGAGCCCAGTCACTTAGTGAGGGTTTCATGTCCAGTCCTTCTGGTGTGGCCTATGAAGGATGTAGCGTATCTTGGGAAAACAGGATCTAAAGTGCCAGTAATCTATAACACACAGCCTGGGCCACCCCAGGTTGTACAGAAACTAGGTCAGAAATGTCTACTTTTCTCACTTTTGTGAAATGACAAGAATAGGGGAACGCACACACACACACAAATAGGAGACTGTATTGAGATTAATGCTTCTTGGTGATTACCATGGATAGGAGAAAGGGGTCACTTTTTGTTTATAATGATGGGAAAAGAGGCACCAGAAATGGGTTTGCACTGTTTGAGTAATATAATGTATGTCAAATAATCTGTACATAAGGACAAAAAAAACCAGGATGAATAGGAAAATGTTATGTGCTGTGGATTAAATTGTGTTCCCTAGAAGTATGTTATAATTTTGTCACCAGAGCAAGCTTTCAAGTTAAGGTCCTGTTCCCTGAGTGGTAGCAAGCAGGCAGCAGAGGACCAAAGCTTACCGTACGCACCAGGTTTATCCCAGAGAAGGACCTTGCAAGGGGAAACATGTACAAGGTTTATTGGACAGAGGAACATTTTGCAAGGGGAGATATGAAGGGACCCTGAGGCAATACAGACTATAGTTCAGTGAACAAGGGAAAAGGGGAGGTTTTTTAAAGGAAGTTAGGAGGGGAGG